TAGCATCATCCGAACCCCTGTTGTCGAATTTATGCATCCTTGCACCTTTAAGTTCTCAAATTGCTTACTAGAGTAAGTTCTCAAAAAGTCACCCTCCTAAGTACAGATATGGCTTGACGCTGTTTAACATCAGCGAGAGGATAAAAACTATGACTTCCGGTTGTGTCTCATCGCAAGCGGTTGCGTATAAAATTAGCATAACAAATCCTGTCGGTAGCGGAAAAAGAAAGAATACTAAACAATAATATACGATGTTATTATTTAGTGTCGGTTTGTTTGTTCCAAAATACGTTGACAAGTTTTCGGCGTTTACTAATTTAAACTGCTTACAAAGCGTATTTTTGTAACGTATTTTTCTATAGAAATACTTAGTAAATGTGGAACATGGGATTGTCAGTGGTCGGATATTAAGGGAAATATTGCTGTCAGAATAAGATTATTAATTAGATTTTAAATTACTTTATTATAGATGGCACAATATCTGGTTTTACTATAGAAAGCGCTGTAAATGCGGAAAAGAGATGTAACTGGTTACATATTAAGAGAAGAGTTACTGAAAGAAAAGTCTGTTATATGCATTTTAAATTATTTTAGTATAGAAATTCATTGTAACTTATTTTACCATAGAAATGCATTCTAAATCTAAAAAAATAGGTTGTCGTTGGTCAGGAATTAAGACACAAGTTATTGTCAGAAAAAAAATAACTATTATATGATTTTTAAATTATTTCAATGCAGATGTAAATTATTTTATAGAAATGCATTATAACTGATTTTACTATAGAAATGCATTATAACTGGTTTTACTATAGAAATGCATTATAACTGGTTTTACTATAGGCAACCTTGTAAATGCAGAAAAAGAGATTGCCACCGGTAACGTATTAATCGAAGAGTTACTAACAAAACAAATCTGTTATATACATTTTAAATTATAACTTTAATTATTTTACTATAGAAATGCATTCGAAAAGGTATTGTCAGTGGACAAGTATTAAGAAAATAGCAATTATATTTTTAATTCTGCTTTTAGATGCCTCCAACCATGCGTTGATAAAATGTTTCCTCTGAAAGAGTTTATGGAGATTGTCACTGACCGACTTTGTAATCAAAGTTTATGCATCTTTAATTTGGAAACATAAAAAGATTAGATTTAGAAGATTGAAAATTTATTCAAACTATTTTTTCAAAGTCTCATTTGTTCATAAGTAATTCTTGATATTATAAGAAAATGAACGAAATCAAATAAAGTTCATAGCTCGGAACCAATCGATTCGAATTTAATTTAGTTATTTGATATTCCCTAGATCTCTGACAATAAATACTCAGATATATAATCATTGCAAATATTGGTTAAAAGAGTTGACTTTTGACTTTACATACCTAGCAGTAAAATACTTATTAACGGAGTCTGTGTTCGATGAATAAGAAATACATTTTTTTTAAATATATATCTAAAGTACTCATAATAGTTGCAATAAGAGTAGTTCATATTTATTCGTTGAATGATTGAAATAGTAATGGCAATACTTGAATAGTCAGATATATAATAATCGCAAATATAGGTGAAAAGATCTGCTCTTTGACTTTAAATACCTAACAGTAAGATACTTATTAACAAAGTTTATGTCCTATAAACAAGACATTTTTTTAAAATTTACGTCAACTGATAATAGTTGAAATGTGACTAGTTGGTATTTATTCGTCAAATGGTAACGGTAAACAATAACGGATCCTTACCGTGGCTACCAATTTACCTTCTGTAGACCGTTACTACTCTAATGAGACCGAAACTCACTTGATGGTCTGGAATGTTAACCTTGTTATAGATTAAATCACGTTCAGTGAATACGTGAGGCAAATGATCACCGGTTAGGCCGAGGAATCTGATCACGTGACACTAGGTTCAGGATTTCGCTCACGTAACACTAGGTCCGGGATTCTAATCACGTAATACTAGAAACAAGATCCTTATCACTTAACATTGGGTGCAGAATTATCGTCACATGAAACTAAATCCGAGATTCTAATCATTATTGAGATATTAGGCTCAGGATTTTAATCACGTGACATTTGGTCTAGGATTCTAATCATTATTGCGAATATCGTGATTAGGCTCAGGATTTTAATCACGTGACATTAGATACAAGATTCGGAACATTTATGTGATATTAGGTCCAGAATTCTCATCACGTGACACTAGATCCAAGGTTCCGATCACATATATGAGACTAGGCGCATGACTCTAATTCTGATCACTTATGTGGCACTAGGTCCAGGATTTTAATCTCGTGACGTCATGACCAGGATTCTAACGGCGCAACACTAGATCCCTTGTTCTAATCACATGAAATAAGGTTTAGAAATCTCATCACGAGACATTAGATCTAATACTCTGAACACATACGTTACCAGGTCCAGGATTCTAATCACGTGACACTAGAGCTACCATTTTCATCACATATGTAACATTTGGTCCAGGATTTTAAATACGTGATAGTAGGTCTAATATCCTAATCAAGTCCCATTAAGTCCAGCAATATAATCATGTAACACTAGATTTAAGATTCTGATCATCTAAGTGACATTAGGTCCATGAAGCTAATCAGGTGATACTAGATATAAAATACTTATCGCAGGATATTGGGTTCAGAATTCTGAATATGTGATGCTAGGTTTAAAATTTTGATTAAAGGATTCTAATCATATAACGTTATTTTCAGGATTCGAATCACGTGATACTAGATTCAGAATTCTAATCAAATGACATTAGGTCCATAATTCTAATCATGTGACATTAGGTCCATAATTCTAATCATGTGACATTAGGTCCATAATTCTAATCATGTGACACTAAATATAAGATTCTGATCATTTATGTGACATTTAGAAACAAAGAAAAAAATACTGAATTGTTACGTGATTTCAGTCCTCTTATATGGCAGTGAATTCTGGCCAATCTCTTCAAAGATGAAGAAAAAAATTGAAGTAATAGAAATATGGTTCTACAGAAGAATTCTGAGAACACCATGGAACGAATAAGCAACGACAAAGTTTTTAGAGAAACTTGAAACAAAAAGGAAACTTATATTTGACATCAGGAAGAAACAGTTGAAATGATTAGGGTACATAATGAGGAGAGGGGGCTTGGAAAATTTGATACTCACAGGACAGATTGAAGGCACGTAATCTACTTAGCGAGTTTGAGTAAATGGATGGTGGGGCATGGTTTAGGAGAAAGAACAAAACAACAGAATTTATTAAGAGCCACGAAAGACAGGAAATTGTGGAGAGCCATGATCTCATACGTCCTGAAAGGATACGGTACATAAAAGAAGAAGGTCCAAGATTCTCATCACATGACAAGTTGCAAGACTCTAGCCCCTTATATGACACTAGGGGAAAGTTTCCGACCATTTACGTGACATCCGGTGTAAGATTCTAATCATTTAAGAGGCACTATGTCCAGGACTCCCTCTGGTCCTATACGTGACATTAGGCCCTAGATTAGGATCACTTATGCGGTACTCGGTCCAAAGTTTTAATTACTTACATGAGCGTAAGTCCAAAGTTCGGATTACTTACCTGACAGTTATTGACACATTCTAATCATTTATGTAACACGAAGCCCAGAATTCTAATAACTTATGCCACATTCAAAATTTTAGTGAGTTACCTGATGCTAGTGTAATCAATAATATGAAACAAATTTTCAGGTTCTAATCATCGGTGCAAGAGGCTAAACATTTACGTGACACGAGGCTAATTTCGTGACAAGAGGCCATTCTGGATACAATATTATATTGTAGTATCGGATAGTTCGCGGACCAGGTATTATTCAAGTAGAAAAAAAATGACAATCTTTAACTTTCGTGTTCCAAAATCAAACAGTGTTTCAAAGGGACGGTTTTTCTCTTGACACCGCTATTGTTTTAACTACCTTCACTCTTCGGCAATGTTTATTGTTTTAAAAGAGACATTTCAGGACTTCTTGGGGAAGACAGCGGAGTCATTTACCGTTACCCTCTCAACTGTTTTGGATTCAGAGTTTTCCTCCTACTAGACTGCCTCTCAACCACAGGTTGGAAAGCCCAGTCTACTCTGCTATTGAACATTTAGTCGAAGAAATTGATCCATGCTTTTCCGAAGGGTATTAATGCAAAGTGAACTGGACCTGCTGATTCCACTTTCCGCGCTGATAATCAGTGCGTTACTCATTACATACATCAACGAATTACTTTGGTTATTGCGCTTTGACAGAATAATGATCATGGATATCTTTGATTGGATTCTTAAAAATAGAACAAAAAGCTTTTTTTGTTGTTGCCCTGTTCTATATAGCAGTGATTAACAAAAATTATATCATGTCTAGTTGCAACCCGTTACATGCTATATGCAAGGAAAAGTACCATCATTAAATTATTATACTCGCAGAAAAATACATTGAACCTTACAGTATCATTTTAAGCGTTAAATTCCTCTAATTTAAATTAATATATTGTCTTCTGAATGAACTCATTCATTTTGAACATTTTAGGTATATAAATTTTTCAGCGAATCACAAGTTTCGCGCGTGCGTAGTTTATCAAGAAAAGTCTTGAGGCAGAAATGGCAAAGTTATTAAATCATAAAAACAGCTATCTTTTATTACGAATAGCAACTTTAAGAGGACAAACACTGTCTGTCTGGCTCAATCAGTTCGAAAAACATTACCTCTTCAGGCGACAAGACGAACATATTCATTTTGATGTGGTTTTCTGTTGGAGATTATCAAGCAAAACCATAAATAGAGAAAAAAAATCTATAGTTCCTTGTCGAGCAAAGACATTTGGTACTCTAATCAGCTTGCACAGACTCGCGACTAAAAGGATAATATAGAAGAAAATGGAATTCGACCAGAATCGAAAAGAAAAAAGCCATATATATCTCCGGTTATTTGAACATGTTTATCCCTTGTTTCCTGTTTAGGATTGCGTTTCCGGTTCCTTCTAAAGAAGTTACAGCCACATCATATTGAAACACTGGTTCCCGTATGATCACCGAAGTTAAGCAACGTCGAGTCAGATCAGTAGCTAGATGGGTGACTGCTTAGGAATTCCAGATGCTGTAAGCTTGGATGTATCGGTGGTGTAATGGATTATGGCTCGGAATTGTAAATCACTGAACCGAGTTTCAATTCACGTTGGTTTCGTTATATCCCCTTACGCACAAATATACTTGGGAAATGTATGAATCCATCACTTCTTCCCCAGCTATGGGTTAATTAGTAAGAACTGTCTCACTAAAACATTATTATCTAAAAAAATTTTACAATCTAAAAATATTTTCTTGCTTTAAATAATCTGCAAATGGTGGATAAACCGTGGAAAACGAATCAGTTAATAAAAACAATCCTTCTAGTTATGTTATCTCATTCTCTTTCACTCCCAGTATCCCCTTATGTCTTAGTGGCATTATCGCCTTGGTGAATTTAATTAAAAAAAAAGACAAAAAAAAAAAAAAAAAAAAAAAACTGGAACAAATTGGAAAGGTTTTCTGTTTGTTCCTTATATTATCATTCCGTCCGATTCGAATCCATATTTGATCTATATGTGATCCCAATATTTGATCTATATGTGATCCCAATTTCTATATGATATGTTCATGTAACACAAAACAAAAACGAAAGAAAATGTTTCTCTTCGATCATCAATGTGCAGGTTGTCTAGTCGAAAAAAACGAAAAAACAAAAAAACATCGCTGTCAATTATTGATCACTTACTCACATGTTCAGTCCATGCTGAGAACACCATGGACTGAATCTGTGAGTTCTAATCGAACTGGAAATACAAACGACGCTTAAACTTAGAATCAGTAACAGACACTTGAAATTTCTATTAGGCATAATGAGAAAAGAGGGCTTAGAGAATTAGAGACTCATAAGAAAAAATAAACACAGAGGGAAACCTCGAATAACCTACCTTACAAGATTGTGTAGATGTAAGTTAATATTGACAGAGGCTTCCTTTCTAACATTTTCATTGAAGTAGTGTGGAACGTCTACATCTTGAATATCTCATTATTTTCTCTTCGAGTTAAATGTGCTATATATCTTATTTGTTGTCGTTGTTGAAATTTCTCAAGTGATGCGGTTTATGTTCGTTGTGTAGCGCCAGTTCACAAGGTTCGAAGAACGATAGTCCTCACTAAGACCTACATGCTTTATTCGCGCGATGCCATTTTTAATCATTAATATTAGAAAGAAGTCGTATACAACTGTCAGTTTAGATATTTCCGAGCGATTTTGGTGGCATGTATGAAATCCATATGAGACTCGAACTGTCGAGGCTATTCAAGAACATTTAATCGAGTTTTTAAGTTAATATTTTGGTTTTGGACCAAGTTGCGGTGTTACCTGTTCTATATCCAATTTTTTTTATTTCCTATACTTCACTTCTGATAAGTTATTCATACACTGAGGTATTTTAAGCGTTTAGTATTTACTAATGCCACCTCCTGTTTTTTTTTAATGATGGATTCAGGGTTCGTGCTGTCACTTGTCGGCGTTAACTCCTCCTTAATTCCCTGATTATTCACTAGGGGTCGCTCTCCCTACACTATAAATACTGGGAAATTTATTGCCTCGTTCTCGTTTTACTTTGTATTTCAGCGGACACATTTAAAAGGATGTGATCTCTCGCAGAAATCTGCGTTTGTGGGAAAACGCCATGAAACACACATTCACGTACGTACGAACATTCACCAAAATACAAACTCTTTACGTTCACACATGAACACAAATGTTAATGTCTATGTCCATTGTAAATTTTGTTGTTTAATACATATATTTGTTTATATATATACATCAGACTTGTTTGTTTTCTTTACATCTTCGGTTCGACTCAACTTGAGTCCGCCATGTTCTTGTAATTGGACCTTCTAGCAGGAAATAAACGCAATTGTTCCTAATTTAACAACACTTAAATCCACAGTCCCCTACACACTGTTTTGATTCCAATTCCAAATTATAATTTCTGTTTTGGAAAGGTTTATTTTGATTCTTATATTTCTTGGAGCACTTATCAAATAAAGGTGGATATACTAGTAAACAAGTAAATGAACAAGTTCTGGGAACTTGTGTTAGTTTAGCAATCAATTTTGAGCGAACCGTTACCAACTCCTTTGTTCCTATTACTCGAGTAATCTCTAAGGGGGTTAATTGTTGCGTGTCTCTATTGAGTTTCTTGCGAAATAATTAAACAAATTTCAAGTTACGCATTTTAAGCATCTATGAATTTCAAGCTTACTAAAAAAGGACAACAGTAGTTGTTATTGCCCTTCTTCTTCTTCTTCTTCTTCTTCTTCTTCTTCTTCTTCTTCTACTACTACTACTTCTTCTTCTTTGTGTCATGTCTCTTCTGGACGTTGGCGAACATGGCTCTCCACAATGTCCTGCCCTTTCTATTTCAGTATGATTTAAAGACATCCGTAATAAAAAGAACTTTTAATAAGTTGATGACGAAAATATCAAGAATACTTCTGCATTAACAATGGCTCAACACTGTAGAGATTAAAAGTTATACATGAAAGCAGTTCGATTTCTTAACTAAAAATTATGAAGTATTATCAGAAGCCGTTATTCATGTAAACAATAATAATAAAGTCGTATTATAATTCTGGTTGTTCCTTAGGTCCTTAGCACAACCGTTGTAACCTATCAATACCTCATAAATAAAAGACTACTCCGTTTTGGTAGCGGGAAAAGATGCGAAAATATATATCAGGGATATTTGGTTTTAGCGAGAAAATGAAAGAAAGAAAGGGTGGGAAGACAAAGGAGGGGAAAACACTCTCGTGTTTAACGTCTGATTCAGTGAAATGGAAAAGCTTGTAAATTTTGAATCTTTTCATTTGTACGCTGTTATTTTAAATTATGACCTGCATACATACTTATGATTTCTGTTGCAATAAGGTGTTACATATAGTTTCAAATCTTTTCATTTGTATCCTCTTTCTTGTTTAAATAATGACCTGCATTCATACTTTTGATTTCTGTTGAAATAAGGTGTTAAATATTATTTCAAATCTTTTCATTCGTACCCTCTTATTTGTTTAAATAATGACCGGCATTCATACTTATGGTTACTGTTGCAATAAGGTGTTAAATATTGTTTCAAATCTTTTCATTCGTACCCTCTTACTTGTTTAAATAATGACCTGCATTCATACTTATAGTTTCTGTTGCAATAAGGTGTTAAATATTGTTTCAAATTTTTTCATTCGTACCCTCTTACTTGTTTAAATAATGACCGGCATTCATACTTATGGTTTCTGTTGCAATAATGTGTTAAATATTGTTTCAAATCTTTTCATTCGTACCCTCTTACTTGTTTAAATAATGACCTGCATTCATACTTATGATTTCTGTTGCAATAAGGTGTTAAATATTGTTTCAATTTTTTTCATTCGTACCCTCTTACTTGTTTAAATAATAACTTGCATTCATACTTATGGTTGTTATTACAACATTTTGTTGAAGTTGTTAAGCTCAAATATTTAACGATGCAATGCGGGAAGTTTCCACCTGTTGTTTTAATCGTAGAAATCGCAAGGAATTTATTCAATCATTAACCTAAGTATTGTGATTCATGAGAGAATTTAAAAAGAAAAAACCGTGAAATCCTTCCTAGTTATAGTATTTTCTAATGACGGCTATCATATATATTTATGTTATAATCATGTTCAGCTTCGTGCGGGACAAAGAGCAGAATTAGAAAATGGGTCGCTCTTACAAGTGAAACAAATGTCTTGAAAATGAGCATTCAAAATACTAAGTTTTATCCCGGTTCAAATAAGGGTGCCGGTAGGCCATGCATACTAATTAAACCACCAGGAAGGTCAATATGATAAATATTAACTAAATTTAGCTTAGTATCGGTCAAAGTTACAACGAATATATAAGAAGTACGAAAATTATCCTATAAATAGCGTTGGCGTGCCGATCATGAAAATCAGCCTTCAAAATTCTGACTTTTATTTTGACACGAACATTGCCCGTAGGAAATACGCAAATATCGAACCTATTAAGTTGTTTAATATTATTAATTTGGATATATCAATATATCCGAGCCTAAATTAGAAAAAAAATAGTTTACAGAAAAAATATCTATTTTCAGTATAATCTCTTGTTTGTCTTTTCTTCTTCTTCTTCTTCTTCTTCTTCTTCTTCTTCTTCTATACGCCGTATCCCTGCAGGACGTTGGCAATCATGGCTCTCCACAATTTCTTGTTCTTTGTAGCACTTAAAAAAAATTGTCGTTTTGTTATCTCTCCTAAACATTGTTCACCACCCTCACATCCAAGCTTACAGCACCTGATAACCCAAAGCGGTCACCTATTTAGGTACTGACCAAGCTCGGCATTGCTTAACTTCGGTGATGGGAGGAGAACTGTGAAACAAAGAAATAGCTTTTAATGCTTACAAAGATTAGAATGAGGCGTATCAGATAAAAAAATTATTGCTCTAAAAAAATAAATAAATAAATAAATAAATAAATTGTATACATGTTAGTCCTGCAGGAATATTTTTTTAGTATCCATCTTTAATTTAATCCCAGAACGACGGGCTAAAATTAAACCATACATTTATGCAGACGGTAAAATCGTTGTCCATTCTCACTCTAAAACAACTCACGCTTTATTCCCCAATAAATATGCCGATATTCTTATTTTCCCAATCCGAAGAAAGTTTGGCACAATCGTATGACTAGTAATACCCAAAGTTTTATCGATCTATGCTCATTATTTCCATAGCGTCTTCACTTGCAATGCATTATTCGTGCTGATTTGCCTTACGTCACAGCCAGGAGCAGAGTTTGCCGAAAACAAGTCCGATAATCCATCCATTACGAGACTACACGTTTTGTGATGAAATCGTGTTAGCATGCGCGTGCGCAGCTATTTATACCAATTACTGGGTACACGTACAGTGCATGAATGTTCTGACCACGTGTGCTTACTGTGTGGGAGACTTTTTTTTCACCATCTACATGATATACTGCTACTAAGCACAAATCAGCTCGCTGAAAAAGCTACGTTTAATGGAAGCGCCACAATAGCCATGTTTAAAAGGTATGTGTGTGTTTGTGCGTGTGTTTGTATGTGCTATAATTTGTAGCTGTATATGCATTTTTGTGAATGCGAATGTATGTGCCTCTGAGAGAGATAGGAACACACACACACACACACACACACACACACACACATATATATATATATATATATATATATATATATATATATATATATATATATGAGACCGATCTTTCGATTGCAGCTCACCAAAGGAGGAGTACATTGGCGTCTTCTCTCCTTTAGGTTGAGGTGATACCTTTAACAAGTCTAAGGAACACACACACACACACACGCACACACACACACACACACACACACACACACACACATATATATATATATATATATTTGATAGGATAAAGAACATATAAGAAACGTTTATAATTTTGACATATTTCGCATTTATTAAAGCTTCATCAGAGAATGAGATATGGAAAAATAAATTTTGGGGTATTTTTATTTTTGCGTTTGATTCTCATTGGTTAAGCCGACTTCATGTTCATTTGACTAGTCAATCAGCGTTCGCGTGTATAATTTTAGGGGTGTAAGTGTATTCTAATTCTAGTTTGTCTATGCGGAATTTGAATGTTAATGTTTATATGTAATTGTATGTGTGTGTGTGCGTGCATGTGTTTGTGTGTGCGAGTGCACATACACGCACACGCGTCTAGTAGTCATTATTTATGCTTAGAGATTGTCCACAAGTTGATTTGGAGAATTTTTTTTACGTCAACACCGATCGTGGTAGTTATGTATACATTAGATTCTTTGTGAATGGGCTTAATAAAGGTTGGTGAGGTAATCTAGTGTTTTTAACGTGTTCATATAGTTGGGAACATTTTTACCAGGACTTCATCAAAGTATTTTCGCCGTAAAGAATTATGTTCTTTTTAATCAGGTTAAAAAAGAACATGATTCTAGAAATAACAGAATTCTTTTTCTATATCTCATTCTCTGATGAAGCTTTAATAAAAGCGAACCATATTAGTTTTATAAACGTTTCTTATTTGTTTTTTATTCTATCATTCTGCCGGATTCCGATCCAAATTTCATCTGTATGTGATTCCAGAGAGAGAGAGAGAGAGTACAATTACAATGACGTGGATGATAATCTGTCCTGTTTTGAAATATAGAAATGAAACCCCAATACGTATTGTTTCTACGAAAAAATGTGTTTAGTAAACCTGTTTTTTTATGGTACGAGATCATTCTTCTTCATTTAGATGACGTAATTATGGCTCTTCACAATTTCCTATCCTTTATACCTTTAAGCTATGTTTATTCCTTTACTATTTTTGCCGGTCCATGTTCTATCATCCATTTATTTACACAATCTCGTTAGTTATGTTACTCGATGTTTCTCTCTGTCCGTCTTGACTTCACCATGTCTTGTGAGTGTCGAATTTTTCAAGCTCACTTTCATCATTATGTATCCTAGAATGTCCCTGATCCCAAACACAAATGTCCTTTTCCGTTTCTATTTTCCTTAAAATTTCCTTATCAAAATATAAGCGTTGTATTATTGTATTATGGTGATATCATTTAAATGAATGCGTAATTATCCACAAAGGAAAATTAACTCAATTGAGTAAATGTACTTTTTCGGAATCAAATACTTTAAAGTGAATAGCTACATTAATAAATTAATGAAAATGCATCTATTCGCAATGTACAATAAATAAACAAAAGAAAAAAGAAAACAAATCAAAACAAATATGTCTATATTCATAGTCTAAATTATTTTTTAGTGTTTAACACAAGATGAATTGGTAAAAAAATGTAAATTTTAAGTCATTTCTTAAATTGTTTTCTTTCATTTTTTTCTTTGTTTCATTTTTATTTTTTCTTGATTCCTTTCTTTGTTTTTTTTCTGTTTTGTTTTACTTTTTATGATTCCTTACAATTCTTGATTATTATTATTATTATTATTATTATTATTAACTAATATTTCTTTCTTTCTTTCTATTCCCGAATTTTGTTTTCTCGATGAATTTAGCTCTGAGATGTTCTTGTTAACGTTTTGTTTATTGGAAGAGATCAGTTGTCTGCCTTTGTTTGATATCAGCCTCTGTCATTTGACTCTGTAAATAAAAAATAAGTCGAGTGTATCATTAATATGACCAACATTTTAAAACCTAGACTCTCAACGAAACAGAAAGACTAACAGTCCCAATAAGAAAAGCAAGAACAACAGTAAAAGAAATAATCCTTTTATATATGAACGTCACATTATCTTTTTAAAAGGCAGAGAAATCTCAGGAAGTTCTTCTTCTATGGGCCCTGTCCCTTCAGGACGTGGGAGCTCATGACTCTCCACAACTTCCTCTTCCTTCTAGTGCTTAGTAACGTAGACACCGGTTTCCGTACGATCACCGAAGTTAAGCAATGTCGAGACCGGTCAGTACCTAGATGGGTGATCGTTTGGGAATACCAGGTGCTGTAAAGTTGATGTGCGGGTGGTGTAATGGATAATGCGGAACTGTTAATCGAAGAACCGAGTTTCAGTTCCCGTTGAGTTCGTTATATCCACTTATGCGCAAATACCCTTGGGAAAGGCATGAATCCACTTCTTCTCCCACCCCCAGCTATGGGTTTATTATTAAGACTTGTATCAATGAACCATTATTATCTAAAAAAATGCATATAAAATATTTAGATTTCGGTATTAAATAACACAGGTTGATATTTGGGCACGCCGACGTGGTATAATGGTTAGCGAACTTGACTCGTTAGACTGAATAGTGAGTTCGATCCTTACTGGGTGCCCCATCATTTCGGCCTTGTGTCACATCTAAACTACGCTTAGAAAACCAAAGGCTCTTCGACGTGGTGTAAAGGTTAGCAAACCTGTCTCGCTAGATCAATTATGACTGAATAGTGAGTCCGATCCGTACTGGGTGCCTTTTGTTTTAGGCCTTGTACTACATCTAACCTTCGCTTAGGAAATCCCCATAGATATGCCGCTAAACAAAAACAACCAATCAAATCTTAGTAACGTTTGTCTTTTTTGACATCCTCTCTCCCTTTTTGCCATCCATTTACACCTGTTGGTCAGGTAGGTTGGCTGTGGCTTCTCATTGTTTCTTTTGTCCTGCAAGTGTCACAGTCTCGAAGTCCTCCCTCTTATTATGTGCCCAAGAAGTTTTACTTGCCGCTTTCTGATTCTGACTATAAGTGTTTTTTTTTTATTTGTTGTTTCCATTTTCCTTAAGACATCTCCGTTGCTTCATAAAGTTAATCATAATTCAAGCGCCCTACGAGGCTGGCATCCCGCTCTCACCCTTTCACTGTCGAAACTATTAAATGTAGCCGTCTCTTCTACTCCAATAGCTTCATATCTCGCACCTCTCGCCTGTGGAACCCTCTTCCCTATTCCAGTTTCCCTGAGAGTTATCTCCAGCTATTCAAATGTAATGTCAATCGACATCTCCAGTTGCCTTGATCCATCCACTATCCCTCTCCTCATCCTTTCCTCTATCACTCCTATCTGTTCTTGCTCCAAATCTTCTGTAACCCCTTGCGTCCTAGTGGCTTCACGCCTTGCTTGGGGTGAAACGCTTAAAAAAATTAAAAACAAATAAATCCGTACTGGCGATTACGTGGAAGAACTTTATTTGAAGAAAGAGCAATTTGGACATGGAAAAAGTTGCTTCGTTTGGAACTAATTAAGAATATTAATAAACACAAGATAAAGCTTCTTTTGTTGTTGATATTAATTATGAAAAAGAAAAAGAAAAAAAAACAAAAAACAAAAAAAAAACAAAAACAAGAAATAAACATTTGCCCTGGTTTGAGTGCATGAAGTTTTCCCATGTAACACAGAGTCGAGTTTAATGTAGGACTACATGTGTATGCGTCAGTGAAGGTAAAAATTACCCAACATTACGGGTTTCTGCTGCAGGCGTCAGAAAGTACTGATATTACCACTTTAATGAAATTAAACCAGTTCTTGAATTAGACATGTGCCGTTTGTGCCATCTCTCGCCTAAAAACAAGACCAGACTGACCCCAACATAAAATACCGAAGTGGGATATGAAATCATTAGAGATCGACTGGGGAAATGTCTTGCTCATTGATATTATCAGACTAAGGTTGCATTTAAATATTTTTTGGCTACAGTTCTTTTTCATATTATATTCTGCTGCATTAATTATTAAGAAATCAAAATAAACTCACTGGGTTTTTTATTGCATATTTAGGTTAGGGGTATGGGGTTGCGCTCAAGTCAACTGAAAAGAATCCCCTCCCTCAGTAAATGCAATGAAATGTACCGGATGGTTTTGGTCTCTCCGATTTATAGAAACAGACATCGATGTGGCATAATAAACAAATGGGTATTGTAGGTGTGGCAGTGTAGATGTGATAGGAATTTGGACACTGATAGGATTTTTACTTAGAGAACTATTCAAGCCTATCTATCTATCTATCTATCTATCTATCTATCTATCTATCTATCTATCTAAAAAAACAAAAATAAAAAAATAAAAAGTTGACCAGGGTATTTTTGGAATATGAAGTTTTACGACCATGAGCTTCGGTAGTGCTCCATATCAAGATAAGGCTCATAAATAAAAATTAATAAATGAAATTAAATCTTTACTTATGCATTATGCATTATGTATGCTTTACGTTTCATGAAAATTACGTCCACATTTCAGGAGACTTGATTGTCAAATTGAATTTATTATCAGGAATCATAATTTTCTTAACAGACAATCATTTTTCTTACACACACACACACACGCAAACATATATTCATTTCTGTTCTGTTATTGTTCTTGATCGTAATGCCTTTGCTTTTTCTTATATTTTTCACACTCAGTAACCCACTGTGTTTTAGTGGCTTTGTTGCCTTGCTTGTTGGAATGATTAATACACACACACAC